ACCTCTCTTTTTATTGATTATTTATTATTTATTTATTATTCCTTTTATACATCAATATTTTTTCATATATATATATATATATATATATATATATATATAGATAGATAGATAGATAGATAGATAGATGAAAATAACGTCATCTACATACAACACACATCTGCTCATTTCAGTGCATAACTACTGTGTATTTATTGGATGCAACATATTTAGGCAAAACATACAATGTGACTTGTGCAAAAGTTGCACACATATTATATTTTATGTTCTATTTTTTTTTCAGGCATGTTAAACTAAACTAAACTAAAATAAACAGAAATTGTGCATTAAAATTTGCAGAAAAATGCCATATTTGAGTTTGTTCCCACTAGAGGATGTGTCAACTTATAAATTGTAAAATAAAATTCAAATTCAAAATGTATTTTTACAGGAGAGGGCAAAAAGTTTCTCATCATTTCTTATAAGTCGATGTAAAGAAATTTAATTCCATGGGTCAGTTTAACTAAAAAAATGATATACTAACAAGCAAGTGAACTAGTTTTATTCAACTTACAAAAAATGACTTTGAATGAAAGAATTGTTCATTCAAAGCACTTATTTACCTCAAATAACACTAGTTTATTTATTTGTTGCCATAATACTTAGGTTAAACCGACCATTTTTACAGTGCAATTTTATTCCAAGTAATATCCGATATATAAGTGGGTGTGTTAGATGAAACCAGTGGAGTTTAAAATATGCATCGTCATAATACAAATTGCTAACTAATCATTGCCAACTCATAATGAGTAATTGAGTAATTATGAGTAATCATGAAAGCCCAGCTGCTAACAGACAACACTGACTGTCTGGGTCTGAGCACATGCCTTCAGTGTGGACAATGCATCTGTTAGCATATTAGCCATTTAGCCAGATGTTAGTACAGAATTGACTCATAAGCTTCCTTTTTAGCATCTTTCTCACACACAATGTTCATAACTTCATGCAGACATGAACTCCATCCTACAAAAAGAGAAAAATCTGAAAGCTGACTTGCGCAAAAATTATACAAGGCCAGATCCTCAGTTGCTAAAGTTAGCACTGAGCTGGAGGTGCTCAGTAATGAGTCAGTAAACCCCTCCCAAAGCACTAACCCTAATTACATAGAGGCACTGTGGATAAGACACGCCGCATGTATTATATAATATATAGACTAAGGCCTATATAGAGCTTTGTAGTATGTGGCTGCATATTAATGCATATGTGGAGCTATAAAAGTGAAAATGTATGCCACACCCTCAGCAGCTTCACCGGAGGATCTGACTGCCTCTGCCTTTATTTGACACAAAAGGTTGCAGAGAAAGATGATATGATAATTGTATGCTGGGGTGGAGTTACATGTGGCAGCTGAATGCAAATGCAGTTCCACACGTCCACAGTGATGATTTATTAAAGGGGAATCTCCCTCATTCTTAGCATTTTGTGTACAGAGCTGCACATAATATACACAGACACAATAGAGAAAGGCTGTAAGGCGTGGGTGTCGATATGAATGTAAAAATATGTTTTAATTTTGAGACTGAGTGTAATCTGAGTCCACGCTGTAGTCACTGCTTTCAACACAAGAGCAGCTAAATTCACACAAAGCTAAAAGTTGTGTGTAAATGGATTCTGCATGAGTTCAGGTCAAATGTCAAAATTAGTGTTTTTAAAATGAGGCCTGTTCAGGATGACCTGTGCTGGGGCCGCATTACACATTATTAGCTTTGACATTTTATAAAATATAAGGCTGAGGCTTAGTCTGCATTTCAGAAAAGCCTAAATAAGCCATTTTTCTTTAAGGGTCAGACAACATTCAACAAAATAAAGACACAAGGACTTAAAAAGCCAAGCAAAAATTCCTCTCTGCAGCTTTTGAGGCCTGACAAAATAAGACGACATGCTGATGGGACTGAGGAACAAAATCTAGTGAAGGAGAGGGTCTCTGAGGGGGAAGGAAAACCACATTTTTTTTCTCCAAATTACATCTAGCTGGACATCATTTATTTACCACTCAAGCTGTGATACTTTATGAGTTTAATCTTATATAATCAGCAAACCTATCAAGAAAATGCAAAGTTCTGAAATGTGTAGACTGACAGGCATTTGATTTGTGAACAGTGTTTACTTTATTGGCCTCTGATGCCATCTACTGTATGTTGAGAATATTGCACCCACGGGTGATTTTTCTTTCTTCTTCTTTCCCTGTTTTTTCAGGGACCAGCACAAAAAGCAACCAAAAAAAAACAACAACCAAAAAACGCAAAAAAGTCTAAAAAATTAAATAACTTTTAAAATGTATTATTATAAAGGGTAAATAATAAATACATTATATAATAAAGGGTGCTGTTTGTTTCCCTTTAGCCCTCAGAGACCCAGAGGTTGTTTAAAGCACTCAGCTTAGGTTTACTATTGACTAAAACATCACTACACAACAGTTACCAACTACCAACAGCTCACACTCTAAACTGTAGCACAGCATCATTTGTAGCAGAAAGAAATCTATTCTGAGTTTCACAGCATGCAAACATCACCTCTGCCTCCTATTGACTTCACTGCTCTGTGTTTTCATATATTTAAGCTGATATTTTGTCCTTCGTTCGTAACACTGTGTTAAAATTACCAAAAAGGTGTACCTGCTATAACAACAGCATCCAGAATGAATTCCATGCTGCTCTAAGCTGGTCTATGCTGTATATACTGGCCTAGTGCTGGTCTGGTGCTGGCTTAGCTGATCACCCAGCATGATCGTATTTTATATATATACAAAATGTAACATATGTTGGTTTTGCTGGTGACCAGATTTGCTAGTCTATGTTGTCTTGTCCAGTAGGGTACACAAGCAACCTTATTTTTCCATTATAATCAACAGGTCTAACTCTGGTCTTTAGTATTGCACTAATATAGCCCCCCCGACCACACAGTGTCAACTATTCCCCACCCCATAACACCTTATTCAGCTCATTGGGTAATTATCAAATCTTTTACAAGCTGGATCAGGTGTTTGAAGCAATGAGAATACAAAGGCTTCCTTATTATGTTTATAGCATAGAAATGCATTTTAGAATTACACGTTTAAAAGAGTTTAAAAGAGTTTAAAAGAATTTAAAAGTGTACCCAGTTTAAATGAGTTAAAAATAATTTCAGTTTAAACTAATTAATACTTCAGTTCCTGAGGGCTGCAGGTGAGTTACATACAAACAGATTACAGTAAAAGGTTTAGAAGCATCAGTAGACAGTGAGAGGTCAAACAGCGCCCCCTGTCGACCAACAGGAGCACTCCAACTTCTAGCACAACATTAAAGAAAAGAACGCCAACCATTCACTGAGTGAGGACCCGTATGTAATGTAGGCGGTAAGGGACGATGACTGTGACGTCGCTCCCTCAGTGTTTCTAAATCGCGCTTCTGAACAGCTTTCACTGCTCAGTTTAGGAGAAGGGCTGGGGAACACGACCCTCCACCACCACCACCACCAAATACAGGCCTGATGGTGTAGAAACAGAGCAAAATCTGCTTTACCAACCCAGCACACCGCTCACATTTTACACAAAGAGGGCTCAGGATCTGATGGCAGCCAGAAAGGCCACTGAATCTTACTGTATTTCTAAACACCCTCTCACTGCAAAAGACTCATTCATTTTCTTGGGCTCCTCATATGAAGTAAGGAAAGTGGTCACCTGCAATCTTAAAAAAATGGTTCTTCTAAGGTTCTTTAGTAAAGAAAATGGTTCTATATAGAATCATAAACACTCAAAGAAACCTTTGTCTGATTAAAAGGTTCTTTGCATCATGAAATGGTTCTTCAGACTGATGGAGAATGTGCTGCAGATGGTTCTATACAGAACCTTTTCAAAAAGGGTTCTGCCATTATGATATCAAGCTTGTAAGAGTAAAACAACCTTTTGGGTGCTATATAGAACTCTTTCCAAAAAGGTTCTGTATAGACCCATCTGTAGCACATTCATGCACATTTCCATCAGTCTGAAGAGCCATTTAATGATGCAAAGAACCCTTTAATTAGGCAAAAGATTCTTTCAGTGTTCATGGTTCAGTATAGAACCTTTTCCTAAAGAACCCTTGAAGAACCATTGTTTTTAAGAGTGTAGATCTTTAAATCTTCACTTAATGTAGTTGGTAATTCAAATTGATAAATCTGTTATTATATGAATTCAATGAGCTTGTAATACACAACACTTAACCACTTAACTGATTGCAGTCAATCAGTGGCCTTTTGCATCACCACTGTTGGGATTAACTACATCATACTGTTTAAAACCAAAGGCTTCCAGAAGGGAAACCTGAGGGGGATCATCATGTTTGCAAATTCCTTAGATTAACATATGAAAATCAGTCACACCAGGGAATTTTTTTCTTTCATAGTGCTTAAGGCCTGCTGTAAAGGCCTAATGTCATTTTGCACTGGAAGCTGTCTAGACTTAAAAGTTTATGGTGCAGAATATAAAAGCTATGAAGCAGTTGATTGTACTAATGAAATTTCACATTTTGGAAATGATTGACCCCTTGAAATGCCTGTGCTGGCTTGCAGACCCAAAGTCTTATTACACATTTCTATAACCTAAGAATAGCTTAGCCAGTTTGCATTGAAGTTCCTGTAGTTACTGAATAATAAGGCTTAGTATGTAATAAGCCTGAGATTTTAAGGGGTTCAATATTGACAGAGCTCATGTTAAGATACAATGAGATATGTTGAGCAGTATTTTGAACGTTTGATTATGTCAATGTTGAATGTGTATAATAAGTTATTATAATGCAGTCTAAAAGGATGTGTGTATATGCATATATATTTAATTTAATTACTTTATATTTCTGGGGCATACTTCTGCACCTGGAATCTCCCACAGTAGGTGAGGAGAAATGGCCCACTTTGGCACATCTGCTGTGAAGAACCTGTTGATGACCTACAAACCTCCTTAAGTGTAAGGAAGGAATGCACCTGACTACACTTACATAACCACACTGATCTGGTTTGAAATCCAGCTTTTTATTTTAACAAACTCACTTCCACACAGCTAAAGAAGTCCATTACAAAGCAATACATCTGAAAGCTTTATTCATTTATGAGTTAACTGTAGCTTACACTGAACAGCCATAATTATACTGATATATATCCAGTAATGAGAAGCGCACCCACAGAAAATAGTTTGAAGACAACAGTGTAGTGCAAAGTTATCTTTGCCTTATAAAATCCAACTTTGCTCTGAAATACATTCTCTATCATTTTGCATTTCATAACTTAGAGGTTAAAAAAAATGCTCTAAACATCAGTAGAAATAATACAATGAACACAAGCAAACTTTGAATTTACAATACATTCACATTTGGCAAAATCAAAACCAAATTCTGGACCAAACTTTTATATACACGAACAGGTGACGCCAAATTTGCACTTGGAATATGAAGCCTGGTGGAACTATATGCACATAAATGGTCCATCGGAATTCTCAGCATGTTATGCTAAGATGTATTACTTTAAAAGTGCCATAGAATGAAAAACTGTTTACACTGATAGTTGAATAAGTAAAGTTTGGTACATGAAACTGACATACTGTGAACTTCAAACACAGTTTCGTCCTCCTTCAAACTGAAATCTTGCATTTACAAAAGGGGGCAGTAAAATGGGACAATTCTAAAATGCTAAACTGTTATAAAACAGTCTTGACACAATATTTACACCTTCAAAATTGACATACACCAGCCCACGTTCTAGGCTAGCAGGTACTGTGAAGAATGAAACAATGACAACGGCAGCAACTGCAATGAAAATGGTGGACTATGTGCAGAAATGTACTGCCTCAGGCTGTGAAGGGGATGTTAGCACTTTCATAGCCTCCCCAAGGAACCAAACTGTTAACAGGCATCTTTAAACGAGGCTGAAGTTTGTGTACTATTCACCAGCTTCTTAATCAAATAATCTGTTCCACCTTAAATGCTACAGCTTATACAGGCGCCAAAATGGACACTTAAGATGGAATGGAAAATTCTCAAAACAAGTTGGGGAATAAAAACTTCAGCTCCCACATCTTTAACAGGATCCCAGACAACTTTAATTCAAAGTTGTTAGTTTGCTCTGCATGTTTTACTCCAGACAGTTTTTCAAATTGTGGGCAATATCAAACAGCTTCGCTCAGTGTTTAACTCTGAAGAGACGGAGGGGCAGTTCCACCTTTATTAGCATCACAACCCCAACAGCAACCTGTACGTAGACATGCTGTGTGATTTTCTCCACTTTTTGACAGCTGAAGCCAAATTATCGTACATTAAAAGGTTCATTGTGAGTTAACAACTTTACTTTGTGGTGGTGTTGAGATTGAACACAAGTAGCTAGTAAAGGTAACATTAGCTACTAGCAAGCTCCAATTGATTAGCATAGCTAAGTAAATAGCGTGACGGCCTTAAATATTTACAAAGAGGCTCATTTTATTTTCCTGTCTGTGTCTATTTTGACATGTTGCTTTTGCGTGAGCCATCGCGGTGCCTCGCTGTAAACCAGCAAATCAGAGCAGAGCTCATCAGATTATTCATAAGCTCACCAAAAAAGGAAAAACAGCTTGTTTCATTCTAGAGCTAAATCACTGGGTTGTAAATGGGTGTGTAAAACTACATCTGGGCATTTTTTTGCCACATAACCTTTATGTACACCTCAGAGAACAGGTTAAAATAAAATGCATTCTATGGCACCTTTAAAGCTACTATAGCACAACAAAACTGTCAACCAATTTCTTACATTAAAAAAAAAAAAACTGAAAGAGAGAGAGCAGTCACTGTCACCTCGTTAAATTCACAGACTGAGCTCCAGGTTTAAAACTAAGCAGTTAGTACTCAAAGAAACATGTTTTGCTCCTGCATTTTCTTGTTTATCTTGTGATTGTATGTAAACATCTGAATGCAAACCCCCTGTGTTCTGGCTTCCTGAGGAGGTAAGAAAGTTTCTTTGAGTTCAAGAGGCTTCAAAAAGGAACTGCTCAAAACTAAAAATGTACAATGGAAATATAAACAAAATATAAGTAGAAGTAAATGCAATGCAAACCATATTACACAGGTTTGCTTTTGAAAATTTCTACTGTGCCAGATCTTCATATATGTTCACACAATGTACACGGCTGCTGGCGTTCTCAAATGTTGTAAAGAAACAGACAATGAAAAAACTAAAGTTAGAAGGCTGCGCTATATGCGGTTTAAACCTCTACAGAAACAGTAGGACCGTTGGTGGTGCTTTCACTGGGGGCTTTCTCTGTCTGCTCGCTGGACTCGCTGGTCACGGCGGTCTCGGTGGGCTCTGTGGGCTCAGCGGCCTTGGCGGCCTCAGTGGGCTCAGCATCTGCCTTCTGCTCTACTTGCTGGCTGCTTTCTGCCCCCTCTTGGTCTTCACTGGTAGCGCTCATCAGTGCCGTCTGTTCGTTGATCACCTGCACGGTGTCAGGAGTGGCTGTGCTCTTCTTCACCTCACCGTTCTGCACAGGAAAAGCCACCTCCAGAGCTGCGTAGAGGAACTGGTACTGCTCCTGTTCAAATGGAGGTCAGGGTATTACACATGTAATGGCAGCCTATATTTGTATATCTCTAACTGCCATTGCTTGATTTTTTTGGACATGCTGTCTTGTACATAAAAAAATAATTAATGAAATTTGGAGTCTTTTTTGTATCAATCTTTATTTTTATTATTATTTTTAATAATTGGAGGATCAGGATTGTGCTGTGTGTGTCTAGGTCATTCATGAAGACTTACAAGGCTAGTGATCATCCCTTGCCTCTCCTTTCGTAGGTGTTTGGACACCTGGAAGACGTCCACCAGCTTTTCCGTGTCTGCACTATCCAGAATGTTCCACAGAGCACAAAAGATTCCAGAACGCGAGCACCCGTCACTGACGAAGACAATCGAACACAAATGAATATATTAATATTAGGCCAGCAAATCAAAAAATATCACGTACTACCGAAATATTGAATATTACTATGATCCATTATAAATGAATGTTCAAAAATCAATGCAGTTAAATCAGAACCTGTACATTGATGAATCACACATTTCTACACCCCTAATTAAAATGAAATACACTTTTTCCTGTGTTTTATTAAATGATGACATGCAGACTGCACCTGCAGTATGAAGGCAACACAAAAGATCACACTTAGAAAGATTCCACTCACAACCACAGCTAACAGTGCATTCATTCTACAGCTTTAGCAGCAGCTACACTCACTTGCAGTGCGCTACGACGGGTGCACCCCTGTTTTCTCGGCTGTTTTTATAGCCACCGTTCTGCCTGATGCTCTTCATCATGTCAACCAAGTCACAAGGGTTTGGCGGAAGCTCATTTCCCGCCCATTTCAGGAACTGGTACTGCTCCGTCATGTGGCTCTCTTTCCTCTGCAGGAGTCATAATGAGTTAGAAGTGCATAAGTATTTATTATGCAGATAAACAACTCCATAACCTTTAGACCAGTTCAGTAACCAGCAGTAACTTAATAGTCAATGTATTTGTATATATTCTGCCATTCAAAAGTTTGACATCAATGTTTTCAATAATCAATAAATGACAATAATGATGAAGATTCTTTCATGCTAATCATTTGAAACTTCATGGGTCTCAAATAATTAGTAAGAAGCTAAGTAAGAAATAAAAACAGTGTCCTGAACAGACGTGCTGATATTCAATGCAATGTTTAGCACACAAGATACTGTCATCGTGGACACTCTGAAATAGTGTCACTGTATTTTAGTCAAAAAAGTTGTTGAGATTTTTAAGATATGCAGAGTAGGTCCCTAGGTCCCACTACACTTTTAGATTATGATCTCATACTGTTTTTATGTGTTTTAAGCACCTTCGCAGTTCCTGGTAAAGGCTGCAGAGCCATCCATTCATATTCAGTTATATGTAAAACATATTCAAGGCTCTACCATCCCCCCCCAACAAAAAAAATCTAAAGATACAATGCACATTAAATCTATAAAAAATACAAGATTCTAGAAATGCATGACGACTGCTGTGCCATCATAAAAAGTGCCATCAGAGAAAAACAGAAAATCCCTAAATGTGTAACCAACAACACATTATTGCTATTTAAAAATAGATATCCAGAACACTACATGTGGGTACATGTATTATCTTACATAGTCGTTTGAATACCCATGATCAAATTACACGTTTTGTTGATTTTCTAAGTGAAAATAGTTTAACACGTTCTCTACAGAAAACACAATTAAATACAGATATAGTGCACAGTTTCTATTTATTTGCTGAGTTTAACATATTGGAAAAAACATGAAATTAAACATGAAATATAAAATGTGCCATAACCTTTGCACTGTTTATTATTTCCCAACATGTTAAATTCAGCAAATAAGCAGTAACTCTGCATTAAAATGAGTAGAAGTGTGTTCTCTGTAAGGAATGTGTTAACCTATTTTTGCTTGAAAAATCAACAGAAACTTACTGTAGACAACAGTACATGTAGTATTTTTCTTAGAACAATGTTGTGATAATATTGTTAACCATGATAAAAGGTTAGCTATGTAACACAATATTTAATTTATTTATATAATTTGTAGCACATGCTTAGTCCTGAATGATGAACAAAGCTGAAGATGATTCTAAAAGAAGTTATATAATATTAAGAATGGATATTAAGAATGCCCCATATTGCAAATAAAAAGTGATTAAATCTTGAGGTAGACAACTTGACAATAAATATAAATCTATTGTAAATAGATGCAGATAGACAGACTGTATATAAAATAACAATTAATATAACAAGTGATTCTAAACCTCTGAAATGGAAATACAACTTCCTTCGTCACATAAATACATGAAAAAAAAACACTGTGAAATGGTTACCTTTGTGTGCTGTATTTCTAGCCTTCGTCTGATGTATGTAGGGAAGGTTTCAGTCTCTTTGACCTCTACCACCATCTCACCAAACTCCTTCTTCTCATCATTCCAGTACTGAGAGCTGAACTCCTAAAAGTTCAGCAAGTAAAACAACATTATGAGCACAAAAGTACAGATAACACCCCAAATATCTTCTTCCACTGAGGATATTTATGTTAGGAACACTGCAGCATATTAGATCTAGAGAAGACTCACCTGCCCGTTCTCTGTGCAGTCTGAGAGCATGACCACAGTTTTAACCCGATGCTGGTAAAGCATTTGCAGGAAATCTGCAACTGTGTCTGACAGAGGTCCCTGCGCAGCAATCAGGCCTTTTGGACACCAATATCCCTAAAGAGGGAGGCATGCATGATATATTTAAACTGCATTAATTAACTCAGAAATCTGGAAATGTTTTAAACTTCCTGTCAGGTATTTACCAACATTTTTTGCTCAGAAAAACACAAATATTAGAATAAAGACAAATAACATCAATACAGTAAGTATTAATTTTATAAATGTCAATGATTTGTTTAAACATTTTCAAATCTCTCCTCATGGCAGCTCAGCATTATATGTAGGTATCATCCATTCTTGTTTTGGCAAGGTAACACTTTATTAACCCAAATCAGGTGTGCTGGTGGTAGTTTTGATCCAATCCCTGTGATGCCTGGGGGCATCGAACTGCAGAACCTAATTTGTGTTCTTCTAACCAGCTTATCAGATATCAACTACCTTTTTAAAAACAATAAACTGTTGTTACCTTTAGTTTATTTATGTTTATTTGTCTTTATTCTACTGTACGTATGTATTATAGTGTTTATTGTCCAGATAAATGACCTGTAAACAATTTGCTAAGGTGCCTAAGACTTTTGCACAGCACTGTACATATATCTGAAAGCATTTACATCCATATATGAGGCATTGATATATTTGGTGGGTATTTCATCCTCTTCATCAGAAGAATAATCCTCATCATCCTCTGCATCACTTCCATTACTGACGTCTTCCTCCAGTTTAATCAAGACTCTGTTGAAGTCATCTGGGATGAAAGAAAATGACTGGTCATTCAGTTCTCTTAGTACTGTGTCTCTAATGGCATTTGTTAGATTTATAGTCTAAAGCCTAGGAAGTCTAGGCTTTCTGCCAGAGCTTTGCTGTTGTAAACAAAATGTAACGTTCATGGACAAATATGATATTTATTAATGATTCCTGAAAGTCTTTTAAACGTACAATGTTTTGTAAGCCCTCCTGATGATGCAGAAAAAAGAAAAAGGTCAAACAGTGGCCGTGCAGTTGGCAGTCAGATGCATAAGTCTCTCCTTCCCCCCTCTCCTCCCTAAGACTAAGACTAAGACTGAGACTAAGTCTGTTTGTATATACTATTTTATTGTGTTTATATTTACGTCTTTGGCCTTATTTATCTTTATTTTATTCTTTTTTATTTATGTCCTTGCTGTCAATTTTAGAGCTGCTAAATGGTTTTTCATTGGTTTTAAACAATGGAAATGAAGATCCATCTATCTAAAGACCAATCTGTCTGTATATCTATCAATCTAGGATGTGATCCTGTAGCTGTAGGCTAATTTGCCTGTCTACCAAAAAGCTCATCAAACACCATGATGTTGTGACCACTGAAAAAGTGGAATGTAAACAACTGATCTTCCAAAAAACTAATAAATGCTTCAAAATTACTTCAAAACAATCTTAAATACAATGTACCATGTATACATGGCTGACTAACAAATGGCAAAAACTGAAACCTAAACCTCTGGAGAGTGACAACTTCCAAACATCTCAAAGATACTCACATGGAACAACAGAGGAGTTACGATTTTTCTTCTTATTCTCCTCAGTGGACGCTGTGTTAGATGTCCTCCAGTTTTTAAACTTTGGAAGTTTCTGCAAAAAAAAAACAAAATGTTTTATGCTGGGAATGTGCATTCCAGGAACTTTAAATTCACAGTATGCTTAAGGGCTGCATGACAATGACAAAATACTAGTTTTATGCGTATATTGTTACATATTATGATTACGATGCGCTTTGTAATATATTAAAAATTCAGTTATAAAATTATAATGAGACATGGTCAAAGATTTGTCTGCACTATTTGCCAAAATAACTTACTTTTGTAGAATTAAATAAATACCTTGACTCAATAAAACACCTACAGAAATCTGAAACTGTGATTGGCCAAAATAATCACAGTACACAGTAAAAACATAACGACTAAGTCACATTTGCATATTGCAGCCTTTTGCAATCATTGAACTTCATCCACTTTAAATGTTAAGAATGTAAGGAACGTACTGCAAAGGCCAATATCATAATAACAATTAACAAACATTACCATACGTAGCCCAAATGAATGTAATTAGTGGTAACGTGCACGTAAAAATTTAAGATTACCAATTTATATATTACACAAACACTTCTGAAAATTTGGCATGTATAAATCATTATTAAAGTGGTGTATTCATACAGACCTAACTATATAGACATTAAGACGAGATTTAGGCTGAAAAGCTTGTGAAGATGAACAGCAAGCACCCACCTGAAATTCCATCTCCAGCAAACTGGGCTCACTGCCTTCCTTCTGTCTGAGAGTGTTGACCGCTGAGTGGAAGTCAGTCAGTGAAATCTCTGTCTCACCAAACTGGTTATACTCGATCAGTGCAGTGTGGATCAGAACATACTGGGCCTGGAAGATTGAACACGCAAAAATACACAAACGTAAACACACTTATTGAAGGAAGATGTTTACTGTCTGCATTTTCTCAATAAACTGAACGTGGAAAAACAAAGCAACGCTAACTGTCGTCTTACCTCCACTTGAACCATAAGGCATCTTTGGCGACGAAGCTTGGCTACATATCCATAGATGTCTACACGGCCCTCTGCCTCCAGACTCTCTATCATGGCGTCAATGCAGATGTAAGTGCCTGTGCGTCCAACTCCAGCACTACAGACATGTAAAGTATATTCAGATTAAACTGCTGAGCCAAAATTATAAAATAAAGCGGTGTAAAAATGCATTGATGGATCGTGATGGATTGATGCAAAGTTGGTCACTGAACTTTATCCATTTTAAATGTTGGGAATGGTTATGGAATTTAATCATCTTAGAAATGATTATAATTATAATCATAAAATTATATTATTATTTATTGCATTTCTTTATTAATGTGCATTATAATAATATTAAATAATATATGCACAAAAAATGGTATTTTGTTGGATAAATTTTGGAAATTACAAAATTTTCCTACAAAAACTGAAAAAATAACACTATTCAGTGTCAAGAAAGTAGTCAGCGTAGGTTTTGTTAATAATATACAATAACATAATCTTTTCTCTAGAGAAAAACGTGTTACTGCAGTTGTGCATTGGCTCCTCCTACCTGCAGTGGATGACAATGGGTCCACTAAAGACATTCTTAAAGGAGTTGACTCTACGGCGCAGTTTGAGGAGGAGGCCAGGATCCCCAGGTACACCATGGTCAGGCCAGCTCGTAAACTGGATGTGAGTGACCTCTCGCTCCGATGTCTTCTCTTTACGCTGAAAAAAAAAGTTTATAACACAGCACCAAAGCCAGTCAATGAGTCAACAAACAGACAATCATCTTAGAAACGAAAGCCTGAATCTCTGAAACATAAGCTGGATTTGCAGATTCCTAAATAACACGCACTGCCAGATTTACCATGATGTTCAGAGTAAATAGTGTGGAGGTAACGCGCTTGCTTGAGGATGACTTGAGAAGTGTTTTACCACTTGCATGATGTACTGCATTACTGTGCGTTTCCTTCATTTAAATATGCTGTTAGCGATTCATAATATGACACAGTCCCACAAAAAATGCCTGAACCACTCCGCCAGTCATTTTGCTTATTAAGAAGCAGAAGTGGATTAAATTATATTTTTGACAATGTTTATAAACAAGTTTGGTTGCACATGCAAGTAATCAACAAGTTATGCATGCTCACCCGCTCAGCTGATTAATCAATGTATTTAAAAGACTGTTTTGATATGTCTCGACTGAGCATAATGGCAAACACAAATGCTGCTGGAGGATTTCAGACTGGCATGAACTTTTGTTATAAAAAATGCTAAATTTAAAGTTACAGAAGAACACATTATTAACAGATCCCTCTCACACTTTCAACTAGTGCTGTACTTAAAACAGCCTCACCTTTCTGCATCAAATTCTATGTTTTGATGTTTTGTTTTCACATGAATAATCTGAATTCCTGAGAAAATAGGAAATAAATGCTAATTATTTCAGCATGACAATTTCATTTTTAATTGTGTGGAAAAAACTGCTACATGTTAAACTTTATATTATATATTGATATTAAGATTAATTAAGTGACCCTTATTAGTCCCACAAAAGGGAAATTTCACCTCTGCATTTAACCCATCCGTTCAGTGAAACACTACATACACACTAGTGAACACACACACTAGGGGGCAATGAGCACACTTGCCTAGGGTGGTGAGCAGCCCTATCCACAGCACACAGGGAGCAAATGGGGGTTAGGTGCCTTACTCAAGGGTGCTTCAGTCACGTACTGTCGGCTCAGGGGATCGAACTGGTGACCTTCCGGTCACAGGGCTGGTTCCCTAACCTCCATTCCGTAACTGCCCCAATATTTTAATATTAGTTAAAATTCTTACTGCAATTTTAATGCACTGTAAAAAAGGCATTATTTCTTACCAATGAGAAATGAGATTTTACATGCTAAAATAAAATTTAAATCCTACAATTAAAAGTTTAATTTTAAGATGTTATAATTACAATGTTTTATAGATGTCATTTTTGTCTGGTATCAACAACTGTTTCTAATAAATGAACTTTGTTTCTTGATTAAAAGTTAAATGGACTGCCATACCTGTGTGTGGGCACCCCTACTAATATCTGGATGCTTTTTCTTTCGCATTTCATTTTTCCTCCTGCCATCACTTTCGACAACAGTTTGTGTTACTTTTGCTACCACGTTTACCACGTCTGCAAATGTCTCTCATATCTTTTTCTGTTGTTTACTCATTGCTGCATCTTTACTAAACAACTTACTATTATTTGTCAGAATTTCTTCCCTTAAAATTTGTAGCTCTGCTTTTGATATATATATTTTTTTTGTTTGTTTTGTTTTCATTTCTTTCATTGTGTCCATTTTAGCAGCCATTTGGGCGTGGGTTTTAAATATGTATGATGTCATTTACATATCAATTTTATTTGGCTCTTGCCAAGGACACAATGAAAATACAGTACCATTACAAAGACACGTTAATCACCACTACAATGACTTTATGAACAGCTCTTTTTTTTATGATGCACAGTTTTATGGGTCTAGTCAAGTGTCTTTCTTTTAAACAAAGTGTTATTTTCTGAAGAACCAAGGGATATTTATGTGGACTGTTCCACAGAATATAGGAAATTTCTGCATTGACTTTAATTTAGATGTACATAATGAACTGCAACAGGACAGCTCAACTTACATTCATCACGCTCAGTCGACGAATAATGTAATCTGGGCAGTTCTCCTCTCCCTTGATCTTCACAACAAAATCATCAAAAATCTCAGTTTCCCTCTCCACCGATGGCCAGTACTGTGCACATTTGTTCTGAGAAGCAAAATAGCAACAATCAAATGTCTGTTGAATCAACATAACATCTGTCCTCTGAAAAACGTACAGTGCTTTCCACATATTCCACATTTTTCCACAAGAAGTAAAATATTTTTCAGAGGATGGTTACCAAAATAAAGCTTATTCTGTGCATTCTTTCTTGTCCTGGATACTTTAATTTTCAGCAGACTGAGTTTTAACAAATGTATTAATAAATGTATTAACAGTAGATGTGTCTTGGTCATTTTTTGAAGTCAAGTTGACAAGGTAGCCCTTATTCCTACTCAGTGTGTAGGCTATATGTAAAATTGCTGTTGTAGTTGGTCTTTAATAACAGAAATGGCAAAAAGACTGTTCTGTACCAAAGAACATCTGATAAGGAAATCAATCAAATATGGCCAATGTATTCAAGACCATGAACAGCAACATCTGTATGCAAACAAACCTGTTTACGTACCTTGTTTCCCTCCTCACAACGGGTAACCATGACGATGATGGAGCTGTTCTGCTCCCAGGTCATCCTCCAGAAATCTCCAATGGTCTCTTCCTTGGGTCCTGAGCAAAATGAGAATTACAGGCAATGTTAGTAACCACAGAAAAGATTACTATTGACTTGACTTATAAGTCACAATAATGAGTGATGTAATTACCTTGGGCTGCAATGTATTTGTTGGACTCTTTGTAACCCTGCATGAAGACAATGTAAAAATTATGTAGCTTTTTTATACAAAGACAATATAAACTTTATGGTATGTTTTCAGATTTCAGATCAACTACAGAAAACGTACCTCAATAAAACTGGCATTAATATAGTCATGTCTTCCTCCATTAGATAGTGGAACACGATTATAGTCATCTGAAAGCATATTCATCAGTGCATACGTAAACCATAAAAACAGAAGAAAAATGGAATGTAAAACATTAGAAATCCACACTGCATTTGCTCAATGCTTAACTTACAGGGCAGAATGTCAATGTAGCGGTTCTTTGACTGGTTTTCTGCTTTTTTTGCCTCTTTGACAGTATAATTGGAGAAAATTCGTGGGATGCTCTGTGAGAAACAAAAACAAACAAGCATATTTAAGTGGACTTCACAAATTGGACCTATGCTCATTGTCACATATCTCAGCATATTTCTCTAGCTGCTCAGATATTGCTATCTACTATTACTGAGGTGGCCTAGATGGTACATAATAGTAGAATAGTCACCTGAAATTCTTCCATAAACAGGCGTCCCTCATCAGCTATCTTCTTTTTATAGGTTTCAACTAGCATGTCAGCAGCAATGGGCTCCACTGGGAGGAGGGTATCTATTAAAGTAAGAAAAATACATCAGGGCCAGCAGAAAAACAAAAATTGGCATTGTAGAGAGGATAAGAAAAAAACATACTTGTAGGCAGAAGATCATCCAGTTCACGTTCATCACTGCAGTAAGACATAAAGCAAGGTGTGTATGAAATTGTCTTATAAAATTAATACAAAAAGTCATGCAAAAGTAACATATCCTAAGTAAAATCAGCATCAGTGAGCCATAATGCAGACCTTAGCTGTTTCCTCTTCAGAAGGTAGATTTTGTACAGCACAAACAGCAGCGCAATAGATGTAAGAAAAATGAGGAACCCCAGGAATCCAAGAACAGCTCTGTCATTGTCTGAAACACACCAAATGTTTTAGGCTAGTTAACGGCATAACTACATTAAAATAGATGATTAGCGAAATAGAAGATAGACAAAATACACTGTATAGTAGATTCATTAATTATTTACAGAATAATGCAAATAAAATAAAATAGGTCTTACAGTTAGTTTTGTAGTCAACATGTATGGCTTCACCCTTTATTTTATTTCCATTTACACCATAGACCTGAATTGAACATACATACAGTTTTAAATGAACTATCAAAACAATGCAGTGGTACTCAAAGTTAGTACTGAGCAATTACTTTATGAACTGCACACTGAAATAAACTCAAGTTAATTATAAATACCTTCACTGTATACTTAGTTAAGTAGTAGAGGTTGTCAAAAATAAAGAAACATGATTCATTTTGATAATGGTGTTTATCACTGGCTGGCGAGATGCTTGCATAGTATATTCCCTGTGCCCCATTCCATTGATTAATATTACATCTCACAAGAAAAGCATTATTGGAGACAAAAGATGCTTTTGGTGTGTACAACGTGGGACCTATTAAAAGAAGAGACAAACAGCAAACATTTAGACATAATATTTTGTAGATCTCAAAAAATATACAAGATTTTTATTCAATTATTTTATTTTCAGACTTATTTTGAGAATTTCACAAAGTATGGATGATAGACCAAGAATTTGCTTTGGCAGCCAATAAGCAAAAAGACACAAAGACATGTACAAATTAATTTGTTCCAAATGCTCTGGGACAGGCCATTTGATCATAAGGTGTGAGCAAAAATGGCAACTTTGTGTTATCGGTGCTCAAACCTCTTGTATATTTTTATTTATTCCTGAAATGCCAGGCTTTTTTATACACACTTGATGACTGGCTTCTAAAAGCTGCCTTTACAGTTTCTACATCTAGCTTCAAATTTTTGTCAGTAGTTTTCTTAACAGAAAGACAAACATTTCCATAGTACAAAGAATGCATTTAATTGCATCCTATTTGGCTTCTTACAAATGGAAAGCACATGACACAGACTCCAGAGACAGGTTTGTTTTTCTTCTTTGATCAAGTAGGCACAGTCCAAGATAAGGGTGACTGTTTTTAGTAATACCAATGTTACACCTTGAAAGCAGCAGAAACTCTTATAGTAATCTTACAGCTCTTCTTACAAAATGATAAAGAATACTTTTCTAGCTGTAATCTAAGTAACACAGTTATTCAACAGTTCCAAACTCAAGGACTTTGATATGGTTGCAAATACAGCTCGAACTTATTCCAACTTATAAATATATAGATGATAATGTAGAACAACTTTATTTAGTGTAACAGTATTGGTTCATATGTGGGATGGTGTTTCATGGAATATAAAGTTAAGATGGAGGATTAGAATAAAAGTAAATACAGTTAATACAGGTCAAACAGAATTTTTTAATCACCTTTATTAAAATTTCATTTTAGAATTGAGGTTTGTAGAAACAAAATATGTTATGCAGTTTCATGAGTAATTAATGTAATTAATTATATATTATATTAATATAAATATAATATATAATAAGAGTTAGTAAGAAAATTCCTGAAATAATATAAATGCATTTTTCATATCATGACAACAATCACACAAAAACAGTTAATACTCACGTCCAGGAAGAGTTTTTTTTTCTTCAGTTACATTACGCAAGAGGCCTTCATGTATTGCGTTAAAGGTGCAATGATACGTGGTAAAGGTTTTTAAATTATCCACAGTACAGCTCTTCTGAGATTTCAGACTACAATGGCCTGAAACTGTAAAGCACACAATATGATTCCTCTGACCATTTATAAACAGTATCAGAATACACAAAGCATATGATTGTATTGTATACACAGTGAAACACTTGACTAACTGGCCAAGTAGAAAATATAATTAAATGAAGTGACAAAGATAAAATAAAAGAATAAAAGAAGAATATTACAGGAGAGTTTGATTTCTTACCTTTTTTAAAATCATTGGATTCTGAACATATGACATCAGAACTAGTAACTGGCATGGAGCAATTATTTCCATTTTCATTCCATTTTGCTTGTATGCTGTTATTACCTGGTGTAAATTCAATGGCTTTCCTCACATCTATGAGAGAGAAAGAAGTAGTTTAGCACATGAACATTACTTATTATTTTCACTTCATCGATACATAAGATAATGGCAGGATAAAAACGTTCATTTTATGTCAAGGATTATGGTATTTTTGTGGCTTTTTGAGTGGTTACCTCAGCATAATATGTATTCAAGACTGAGCTTATTTCTGGATACGGTGATTTGACACAGTACTGCTTAATGAATCTTTTTTGACACCCTACCAAGGTGGAACTACCCTAACTGAGTTTGCTCAAAGAAATTCTTGTCACCTTTTGTACATTATGAAGTTGCAAGTGCATGTCATGGATTTAAGGGGAATTAAGTGTTTGATGTTGTCTAATCTATGTGCATATTTTTTCAAAGAATGATAAGACCAAACAGAACAGACAGAACCAAGTTATAAGGCTTGCAGAGTCAAGCAGTCCAGAATAAAAGCATTTTTTATTACTGTTGGCGATTCGGCCTAAAGACTGATTGATTTCTGGATGCATATCTTGCAATGAGTCAGGCCATCCCATGCATTTCAAGGACCAGGTCAGAAGTATTCACTAACATTTCCCTCTCCCCATTTATCTTCTTCCCAAAACCCTGACTCAAGTGTCTGACATGTTCTCTTACTTTCACTGACCCTTTCTTGTCTCAGAAGTCCTCTTCCTGTCAGCTTGACCTTCTCCCACCCCATCCCAAGGACTACATGACTGCTTTTCTATTTAAATTGTTAAAATTCAAATTCCATATATGTATCTAGGCAAAAACTGGTGCAACAGGGAATGCAGCATCCAAATTTTTCAAACCTACTATCCAAAACTGTGCTTAAGTTACATCCTCCCTACACCCATTCTTAGCACAGATATAAGGCCAAAGTGGCAAAGGTGCAAAAGTCCAGTTTCATTACTTACAGCCTGGTTTTGTAGATGTACCTTTTTTGTCACTTTAATATGACACAGTTGACACATTTCTATGTATGATAAAACAAACAGACCTAACATAATTTCTAATATATTTAATTAAATACCAGATCTAGCAAAGTTCCATTAGATCGTTTTGTATGCAGTGCTTTATTGTAATTTGCTTTTGATATCTAGCTGTTGTTGCAAACTACAGCTGTTCTGTCCTACACTTTAGTTGTATTCCACTTGTGGCTGTAAGCTAATAGCTTTGGTTAGAGCCACTGTTAGAGATTCTTCTTTCTGGGATAAACCTTGTCATAGTTTTAGTCATAGCAGAAGTCATAGTATTAATTAGGGGTGAACTTAAATTTATATCATGGTATTTTCTACTATCTGGATGATAATATGACCACAATATCAACAACAACAATGACAACAGTATTAATGTATTGATAACAACAATAACAATAAAAAATACTATTGAAGCTGATATATAAGGCCACACTGATTAATATTGAAGCATACTGCAAGCAGCATTCAGCAGTGTGGATTACCTCTTCTAAAATGTGCGTTTTGTTAAACTTCTAAAAGTTTTGGAAGCTGTTCAGACTCATGTTTGGTTTGTCCAGGGGGCGGTTCTAGTTCGCTATTTCTGGGCATATCATGGTATCTACGGTACGGCAAAATTAATTGCATGGGACATTGTCATACTGGTATACCTCCCAAGCCTAGTTACATATTATCTTTGTCAAGGACTCATGAAGGACTCATTTCTTTCCAAATGATCCTTTGTGCAATACATGTGAATTCGTTATTAAAAGGGACACAAATACTTGTAACTAATGATGAAGTATTACTATTAAAGGCAGCAACAAACAAGCCAAACACCACAGCCCACCATTCATAAGCTTTTCATTCATTCATGAAATAATCAAGGTAGCATACTGATTCACAAACTTGTAGCTTTATTTTTATAATGATGTAGGCTAATTCCTACAGACCTACTTACTGTATGTCTACTCATGTAGGTTTAATGCATAAAGCATGAGGAAATAATGAGGTCTTCCATCAATTAATTACTAATTAATCTAGTATTCTGTACTGATTCCAACCTTAATCACATAAGTACGTTTTGGCATATTATGCCATTCATGAAACATTAGCATCACTATTCGTGGTTGTTACTATATTAGTCAAGTCAAGAGGCTTTTATTGTCATTCCATCTGTGTACAAGTACACAGTGGAGCAAAATTACGTTCCTCCAGGACCATGGTGCAACATGGAACAAAACAGACAGTACAGACAAAGTGCAAATGTGCAGACATAAGTGTGCAAAACATTAAACTAGAAACAGTACAATAAATACAGTAAATAAAACAGACATTAGGCACAGTAAACAGACAGGACAGTGCAGCACAGACACAGCACTCATTTCTGAGCATGAGGTAGTGAGGATAAGGTGCAGAGATATTTAACATGCTATGGTATGTGGGTATATGCAGTCAGATTATGACATACATGAGCACAGCATTTACTGAGGTAGAAAAATACAGCACTTGAGTATAACATTTTTTTTTTCCTTAAACTTCAACAGTAACTATACTGGATGCATGTTCATTAATTACTCATGAAAACTGCATAACATATTTTGTTTCTACAAACCTCAATTCTAAAATGAAATTTAAAAAAAGATGATTATAAAATTCTGTTTGACCTGTATTAATTTGAGTGAACAGTACAAAGACACAATATTTGATGTTTTACCTTATGAACTTTAGTTGTTTTTTTAAATATATTTTCATTCCAAATTTAATTAAGTTGGGACAGGAGCATGTGGTTGCCAAACAAGTTACACAGGCCTACTATGATGTATCTTTAAGAATGATGATTTAATAGGAATCCATAAAATACCCCATTGAAATTGTCTGCCCTGAAAGTGCGAGTAAAGGTCAGTAACTCACGTAGGTGGCTGCAGTAACTTGTGTAGCAGCTAAACCACGCAGCTTAATTACCTTTTAGACATGACCACATTCGGAGTGTTGGCTTATCAGCCATCTAAAGCAGGTCATTCAGTTACCTCATTCACTTAGAATGACTGAGCTGCTAAAAACCTGTCAGAGGTTTGCAAATAAAACTCCATACAATTTTAAATAAGAGCAATTTAAACTGTTTGTTTATGGTCAGCAATGGCATGTTCTTCCCTCCATTTGGTACTTGTTTGTGATAATGTTAGTAACTAACTAGCCAAAAACATATTAGGTTGGAGACAAGGGAACTTTAAACATTCAAATGAATTAATTTTCTGCATCTGAATGTACATTTTTTCATTGGATTAGATGAATGTTTTAATGTCAGATTTTTTCTGACAGCTATAGTTCCTTAAATGACCTCCATCTCAACTTTTCTGGAACATCAATTTGAGTGAGAGTGTGTATATCTACAAAAACAATAAAGTTTAACATTTACTGTTTTCATTTAAATACAGATTGACATGGATTCAAAAATCACTGCTTTCTGATTCTATCTGCATTTCACACACTGTCCCATTTGTTTGGAATTATGGTTTCTAATATTTACCATGTTTCTTGATGATTTGTACCTTGAGTATTTAATATGTTTTTTCATAACCTGTTCCCAGTTACTATGATATTAGTTAATTCATATGATTATGATTTAATCAATATGATCTAATGATTATACTCTGCTTTGCACCTTTCCTAACACTCCTTAACCAAAGACTAATCATCATAACTCACAGCCTTGAGTGAATTATTGATGTAAAATACCAAACTTGGGCATGAACATCCATTAACAGAACAACTCACAAGCATCTCGAGCGTGAGCTCATTCAGAATGAGACAAAGTAAATTAAAATCTACGAAACTGCTAGATTCCATTTTTTGCATATTAAATAAATGCAACAACAGCATTGTGAAAATGTTATTAATAAAGAAAAGTAGATTAACTGGTAGAGATACATATTTAAACATCTGCCTTTAAGGGTCAGAGCGACTGAGAGGAGTTGTTTTGACTGGATATCACTGCAGAATGTCTAACCATGTCTACTGACAATGTCGTCATTTGAACCCTCCCCTTTTGTGCCACTCTGTGCCAGCTTACAAAAATTACGATGTGTCATAATTTTATGCTAGTGTCTTAATCACAAAAAACAAAGTCCAGAGGCCTGAATACTGATGTCTTTTGGTCACACATACTGTACACATTGTTACCTACACTCCAAAAAAATGGCTTTTTAGTAAAAAAAAAAATAGGTTCTACGTAGAACCATGAACACCCTTTGCATCGTGAAATGCTTCTTCAGATTTATGGAGAATGTGTTGTGTATGGTTCTATACATAACCTTTTTTAAAAAAGGTTCTATATAGCACCAAAAAGGATTCTTCTATTGTTATGATAACAAGTCTGTTACAATAGAAGAAACTTTTCAGTGCTATATAGAACCTTTTTTAAAAAGGTTCTATATAGAACCATACACAACATGTTCTCCATCAACTTGAAGAACCTTTAATCATGCAAAGGGTTCTTTGAGCATTCATGGTTCTATACAGAACCATTTTCTTTACTAAAGAACCCTTGCCTTTGTTAAGAGTGTAGGAATTTGTAAAGTCTGAAATTGATATCAACTTACCACATTTGATGGTAAATAAGATAGGTTTGCTTGTGATGTTTTTGTGACAAAAGGCAGAGGCCCTATAGTGGAATATCCCAGTGCAGTTATACTCTTGGAAAGGTTGAAAGTTTTTTACTTCCTTTCCAGATTCTACAATGAAACTCTGCTGTGAGCCTGAAGAGAAAAAACATTTAGTCTCACGATTTCTGAATTATTATACGGAATTATGTTAAATCATTATTTGTAATCATTACAAGTAATTTGTGAGGGAACAAACGAAAAAAGCTGCTCTTAGGATTCTATGCATTCACAATTCCACTGCTTACCTGTGGGGATGCAACTGATATTTAAATTGCAGTTACATTTCTCAGGCTTATTTGTCCAATTTAGTCTAGAGGGGATCCAATTTGTAAATGTGATTTCAGGATCTTCTGCAACAAAGACATTTCAGAAAATCAGTCTGAGTTTTAGTATTTTTTTTCAAATATCATATTACCTGTACTGTGTGTGCACAACTATACTGAAGCCTTTGAACAGAAATGAGTGTGAGCATATCACAAAGAAAGGTTACACATTATTATACAATTTATTCAACCTTATGATTAAATTCCAACAATGCTTTCATTTAGTTTTGTTGATAACACATCTACATACACAGCTGGATTATAATAGTTTAACAGTGTAGCAGCCTATTTTAGAAAGCCACTGGAACTGCGCTAAACACAAAAATATCTCATGTCACAAAAAGGCCTGGGGTCTGTATAATTTTATACATATAATATTTAATATATGCACATTTATATAAATATACCTGCTGGAGGAAGAGTGATCCGTATATCCTTGCTTTTGCAGTTGTGTCCTTCAATAGTCAAGAGCTTCTCAGTACAGGATTCATTGTTTCTCTCAAAACACAACTCAGTTGTTAATTTCCATTTAGTCTTAAAGCACACCTTGTCCTTTTCAAGAGTCATGTTTGTTATATCTGTCTCAACTTTGGGAAAATAAGATTACATGGATATGAATTACTTTTCGACATAAATTATCAAGACATCATAATGGCATTTGTTTTTCAACAGTTGACTTACTACGTTAATAAATTAAATTAAAATTTAATTTGTGATTGTACTATTTTAACTAAACACACCATTTTCTCTTAAGATAATGCTTACTAGAATTGGTCTTCTATCTCAGTAAGTAAAACAAAATTAATGGACAATAATTCATATTTTCTCATCAGAATATGCAGTGTCTGTTTTAATAACTTACTCAGTTTTGTCTCAAAAGTGTCAGCTTTACTGTGGTTACAGAAAGGGTTAACATGGGCTCTGTAAATGTGGCAAGGCTTCAAGTCTTTAAACTGTATCTGGAGAGTTGTATTATTCTCAAACATTAGTTTCACACTGGAATTATCAGAGGTGTCTGTGTACTGAAAAGAGTAATTCTTTTCATTCGTGTCAATATTTTCCAACTCCACTTCAAAGGCGTCCGTTCCACGTGTGATGGTGTATACACCTGTAAAACCATATTGTACATGAATCTGAGAGAAACATATCATGATCACGTGGGATTTAATATATTTGAACATGATGTATACTTACAAGAGGATTTTTCTGCAGAGAAAAAAATAAAGCAGTCAATAACAATCTTTGCAACAATAGTAACTGTTTGCTGTATTAACAAAGCAACTCTGTCAAATTTGCTGGCATTGTTACCTGTTGTGAGGGGTATGGTGGGTGGGGGTGATGTTGTGTTGATTGTGGACACAGTGCTTGCAGAGTCAGAGGTGTTTGTGACTGTCAGCATTATCAACAGGGCATAAAGTGCAAGATGGAATCACCAGTACTACACAACTCTTAACACGACCTAAAGTACAGGGTGATTCAAAAAGACTCATCCAATTTCAAAGCGCCATATTTTTACAACCGAGAGGTGCCTAGGAACCAATCACATACCAATTGAAAGAGGGGGTCATAGAGTTTCTGACTGTCACTGGAAGATGGCTCCCTTCAGTCTGAGAGGAGATGCGACCCCTAAGCAGAAAGTATTCTGCCTTCTCCACTTCAAGAAGAGTGAATCTGTCATAACTGTGTAACGTGATTTTCGTTGGCAGTGAACCTCCAACAGCTCAGATCGTTCGTTGTTGGTTCCACAACACTGGATGATCTCCGAAATCGCATTGAAAGAGCCGTGAGTACAGTAACACTCGACATTTTTAATCCAGTATGGGATGAATTTGACTATCGCATTGATGTTGTCCGTACAGCTGGGGGAGGTTCATATTGAGCACTTATAAAGTTACATAATAAACTTTATGCTCATTTAAACCATTTACAACTTACTGCATTCTTCTGTAATGATTTACAAGTTAAATAAATCATTTTGAAATCAGATGACTCTTTTTGAATCACGCTGTATTAACAGCTCTTCTTAAAAGAACTATCACATGCAATACATAAAAACTGCAATCTACAATATCTGACCAAAGAGTACATTGTTTAAAGAATGTTAACAAAACTTCGCAGTTTCTCAGTGATCTGTATGAAGTGTTAAAAGTCTCACCTGGTCCTTTTTTCTGATTTTCTGTGAACAGAATCATTTGAAAAGGATATTATAAAATGTAAAGAACAAAACACCAAAGGAAGAACAGCACTGACAATATCATATTTAAAAATATCATAATAACCAATCTTTTGTAATTCAGTGATCTCTGATCAGATTTTTTCCCCATGTGCATCTGTCATGTTCTCAAATGGCTGCATTTGAGAACACAACAGTCTATTTTATAATCTCCTTATTTTTCACACTATGAAAAAAGGAGAAATCAGTCACAGTATAGCAAAATTATTAGTGCTAAAAATAAACATTTTCTAAATTAAACATTACTGTTTCTAACATTGATAATATTATCAATTTTTTGGGGGATGGGGGGGTTTAACCCAATTTAGTCGTCGCCAATTACACCCGCTAGTTAGGACTCCCCCAAGCACACGATGCTATCAACGCTAGGAGGGTGAAGGCTAACACAGGCTTCCTCCGAGACCTGTGAAGCCAGCCACCGCTTCTTTTCGAACTGCCGCTCACGCAATGTCACTGGACAGCCGAACGCGCTCGGAGGAAAGCGCCAACCGCCAGATCTGTTACGTCAGCTAACAGACGCCTGCGCTGACTAGTATCGCGTTAAGTGATGGGGAGAGAAGGAGGGGCCATCCTACCCACCCAGAGAGAGCAAGGCCAATTGTGCTCTCTTGGACTCCTGGCTACGGATGGCTGTAGCATCACCAGGGATCAAACTCGCGATCTCCTGATGACAGGGCCAACGCTTAGACGGTTGCGCCACTCGGGAGCCCAAATTAGTATAATCTTTACTCAAAGAGGCATGTAGTTTGGATAATTTTCTTTTGATTGGTGATCATGTGAATTAGCATATGCAGGATATATATACATACATAGAAAGATTTTTGACTGCTCTATCAGTATGTGAGTGTTGGTGTTGAAGCAAGTAGGTGTTTGGAGGAAATGCTATTTTATTGACTGTAGCGAGAAGCTCAATTTGTAAATATATCCTCTACATGCTTCAGAGGTACAAAAATCAGACCTGGTTTTTAATGGTATATAATGGTATATATTTTATGGTTATAACAAACCAACACAACATTCAGTAACATTTAATGTGAAGGCGACCCACATTGGGGTTTCATAACACATGCATAAGTGCTGGACAAAAGTGCTGCTTTTTAACAGTCAGTAATTGCAAGATGACATAAGCTAATTCATAACATAAATGATATTACATTGACATGATGGGCCTTAAAGTGACATTTGTTCTGCTTATAACACTGTTATGAGGGATTGTTCCTGTTTTATCCAATGTAATGGAACTTAGAAGGCTTGTGATGTTATGAAAACCAGCTGTTTAGCTCCACTCATTAATGCTAAAGTTAGAAGTCTGCTTTTTGAATGAAACACAATACGCATTGGTCAGAACAGAGGTCACTTACATATATCAGTCTTAAAGGCACAGTGACAAAAACAGCCCTTTTAGTACATAAACCACTTAAATGTCAGACATGGACCTCAGGGCAAAAATAAATGCAAGAAAAATGTAGGATGGGCCCTTTAAGGAGACCTGTGTGGCTGCAGATATGAACAACTAACTAACTAACTACTTTTTTGTGTCTGCAGGAACACATGCCTCATTAACAGAACTTGATCATCAACATAGTAACATCAATAATAACTAAAAGGGATTGGAAAATATGTGTGAAAATGATAATTTAAAGGGAAAAATCTTCAATAAAATGTGTGGGGTTCAATGCTTTAAATGGAACAGAGGTTCATCACTATAGTTTAAGTAATTTATTCTTAAAACATCTTACGCCATCATACAAATACTGTCATTCATTCATATATATATATATATATATATATATATATATATATATATATATAGATATAGATAAATAGATTCAAATACTGCTTTAGTGATGCATTATTCATTGCTTAGCTTTCAAATGTACATTTTAGTATTATTCCATGATATCCTTAATGATACTGATGAGAGTTAATGTGATTAGTATGTGAAGATAATTGGAATTAAAAACTTTTCAGCCTTGCCCAGTATCTGATTAGAATCTGGGATACTTTAATACTCTAAACCCTTATAAGTCAATAACAAAAATATATTACAACAATGGCAAAACTCTGTTGCTGTATGTAGTAAGTAACTCTGTCATATTTGCTGGTGTTGTTACCTGTTGTATTGGACATTGGAGCAGTGGGTGAGGGTAAGGTTGTTGTTGTCACTTTGGACGTGCGTGTGGAGTCAGAGGTGCTTGGGTCTGTCAACAGTTTCAACAGAACATGAAATGCAACACAAATTTACCTGCTGTGACATTTTCTGCACACATACAAGATTTTTGGGTTGGTACTGATCGTAGATAATATGCACAGGAAACTACATAAAATCTTTTTTCTGTAAGTATCTGATTTAGATCTTATGGTAGGTCTACTTAGTTTCAGTTCAAGAGGTCATTTTAATTCTGAGAGTGTCCCTAGAAAACATGTTTTTTCCTTATGTTTTTCTTGCCTTTGTCAGGACATGCCCTCAGAAGTCAATTGTTATGCACAATGTCTGGATGTGTATTTGAGTGCTGATGCATAGAGACGCTTAGAACAGTCATGTTTGCATTGTATTCTGTGAAGTAATTCATTCTTCAACTTTCTTCAGGATTTAAAAGTTTTTATCGATCTATTTCTCTATCTAGAAAAACAAATGAATATACAACTATAACTGGACATAAAAAATAAAAACTTTTCAGCCTTATTCAGTATTTATTTAGAATCTGGGGTACTCATATTCACTTCAAGAGGTCTGTTCAGTTAAAGAGGTCTGATCACTCTTTTGTAATTCAGTGATCATTCCTAGAAAAAAAAGGTGTTTTTGGTCAGATTGCCCTCATAAATCAACATCAATCTATTGCGACAAGAGTAAAATTCTTATGCTGTATGTATTAAGCAACTCTGTGCCATATTTGCTGATGTTGTTACCTGTTGTGCTCGAATTTGGTGCAGTGCGTGAGGGTGAGGTTGTTGTCTCGATGGACACAGTGCTTGCAGAGCCAGAGACTGTCAACAATTTCAACAGTAAATGAAGTGCAATACAAATGTACCAGCTGTGACTTTTTCTATATACATAAATAATGTTTTGGGTTAGTGCTGATGTTAGTTAATGCATGCAAGAAATTGTATATAAAATTTTTTGTTCTTTACAAGTATCTGATTTAGGCCCCAGGGTAGGTCTACTCAGTTTCAGTTCAAGAGGTCATTTTAATTCTATGAGCAGAAGTTTATAGCTATCTGTACACAATGTACTTATTTCTCATACTTAAAGGGTTGTGATACAAACATTTTGTCACTGTCTAAAGAAAAACTAATATTTTCAAAATGGCAACTTTATAGAAGAAGGAAAAAACACTATTTACTTTTAATGTAAGATAATGTAAAGATATGTTAGTCAAAGCAAATTTGGAGCATTTCTATTGGTCCAATCATCATAAAACTTTCACACAATGTACAAGACAGCTGCAGTGCTCAAATGATGCAAAAAAATAAAAGAAAAAATGGAGATCCTTGTTTTTTGGACAGCGAAGATATTTTACACATGGAAAACTTCACCAATTGTAACATTTATTTTGGTTGGAAGCATATTTGAGTTTTGATGCACAGTGATGCTTAGAACAGTCGTGTTTGCACTGTATTCTGTAAAGAAATTCATTCTTCAACTTTCTTCAGGACTCATAAAGTTACTATGCATCTATTTTTCTATCTAGCATAATAAATTAATATATGTATACAACTGGACATAAAAAAAACTTTTCAGCCTTATTCAGTATCTTATTAGAATCTGGGGTACTTTGGTTCAGTTCAAGAGGTCTGATCACTCTTTTGTAATTCAGTGATCATTCCTAGAAAAAGGTGTTTTTTGGTTAGATTGCCCTCATAAGTCAATAACTATCTATTGCAACAAAACTCTTATGCTGTATGTATTAAGCAACTCTGTGTCATATTTGCTGGTGCTGTTACCTGTTGTGCTGGACTTTGGTGCAGTGCGTGAGGGTGAGGCTGTTGCCTCGATGGACACAGTGTTTGCAGAGCCAGAGGTGTTTGTGAGTGTCAACAATTTCAATAGTAAATGCAGTTTACCAAATTTACCAGCTGTGACTTTTTCTATATACATAAATAATGTTTTGGGTTAGTGCTGATGTTAGTTAATGTACGCAGGAAATTGTATATATATTTTTTTCTTTACAAGTATCTGATTTAGGCCCCAGGGTAGGTCTACTCAGTTTCAGTTCAAGAGGTCATTTTAATTCTGTTAGCATCCCTAGAAAAGTTTTTTTCTTGAAGTTTTTGTCTTTTTTTGTCAGGACATACCCTCAGATGTTTATAGCTAAGCACAATGCACTTATTTCTCATACTTAAAGGGCTCAGATAAAAACACTTTGTCACTGTCTAAAGAAAACTAATACCTCCAAAATGGCAACTTCATAAGAGAAGGCAAAAGCGCTATTTACTTTCAGTGTAAGATAAGGTAAAGAGATGTTAGTGCAAGCAACTCGGGAGCATTTCTATTGGTCCAATCATCATAAAACTTTCACACAATGTACAAGACAGCTGTAGTGCTCAAATGATGCAGAAAAATGGAGATCCTTGTTTTTTGGCCAGCAATGATATTTTACATGTGGAAACTTTACCAAATGTTCTTTATTTTGGTTGGTTGTGTATTTGAGAGTTGATGTGCAGAGTTGCTTAGAAGAACTTAGATGTTTGCACTGTTTTCTGTGAGAATAACTTAATTCTCTAAGTTTTTTGGGATTAATAAAGTTTTTACCTATCTATTTCTCTATCTTGCATAATAAATGAATATATTATTATAACTTGACATAAAACTCTTCCGCCTTGTCCAGTATCTCATTAGAATCTGGGGTACTTGGATTCAGTTCAGGAGGTCTGATCACTCCTTTGTAATTCAGTGATCATCCCTAGGAAAAGGTGTTTTTGGTCAGATTGCCCTCATAAATCGATAATCTATTAAAAGAGCTCTGTGTCATATTTGCTGGTATTGTTACCTGTTGTGTCAGACTCAGGTGCAGTGCGTGAGGGTGAGGCTGCTGTCTTGATGGACTCAGTGCTTGCAGGGTCAGAGGTGTTTGGGTCTGTCAAAAATTCCAAAAGGACATGAAGTGCAATGCAGATTTACCAGCTATGACATTTTCTATAGACATGTATAGTTTTTTAAGTTAACTGATATTAGTTAATGTATGCAGGAAATTGCACATAACTCTAACACCATCCTTAGAAAAGTCATACTAAAATGCTTAACATAAACATATTTTACATGTGGAAAACTTTGCCAATTGTAATTGTTTTATTTTGGTTGGTCGCATATTTCAGTGTTTAAGCTGGGAGTTGTGTAGAAGAGTCATGTTTTCACTCTTTTCTGTAAGAACTTAATTCTTCATCTTCCTTAGGGATTAATGCAGTTCTGTCTATCTCTTAGAATCTGGGGTATTCATTTTCAGTTCAAGAGGTCTGATCACTCTGTTGTAATTTAGTGATCATACCTAGAAAAAAGATGTTTTTTTGGTCAGATTGCTCTCATAAGTCAATAACTATCTATTGCAACAAGAGCAAAACTCATTAAGCACCTCTGTGTCATATTTGCTAATGTTGTTACCTGTTGTGCTGGACTAAATAAAGCCATTTTTTCTTGAGGTCTTCTGTGTTTCTTTTTTTAGTCAAAACATGCTCTCAGAAGTGTATAGCTATGCATAATGTACTATAAAAGTGTTAAAATAAACATATTTTACATGTGCAAAAATTTACACAGACTGCACTAACAAAGCAATATAACCAAACCTGCCAAGTCTGAAAACACCCCAAGAGTGTAAAAATAAACATATGAATGAATGAATGAGGATCATTACCTGTTTTAACAGTTATTTTAGTTGTCGGTTGCTTTTGATGCAAGGAATTGAGTGTAAAAGAGGGTGTAGTTTTTGCAGTAGGCAGGGCTGAACTTGAGTGTTGAAGCGGGGAGGTGAGTGGAAGAATGGTGTTTGTGCTATTGTCTGTGACTAGAAGAAGCATAATAAATGAATATATGACTACAAAGGCCATTCAGTTACCACAATCATATCTCAACACTGAAATAGCTCACTGAATGCAAAATTAATGTTTCTCCAAAGCTCTGCCAGAAACCTGTATTCAACTGTAATCTTAAGTGAATAGAGAACAACTGATATACCCTTAAAACTGGTTCTTCAGGGGTTCTTTTGTAAAGCCATTGGTTATATATAGAACAGAGGCTCCAGACGAATCATGCTTTATGATGCGCAACCGTATTAACCCCTAAATGGCCAGGGCCCCCCGGGAGGCCCACAGTTGTATTACACACTTCTATAGCCTAAGAATAGATCAACCAGTTTGCATTGAAGGCCCTGAAGTTACTGAATAATGAGTCTTGGTATGTAATAAGCTTGGGATTTTAAAGCGTTAAACATTACAGAACATTTTTAAAAAATGTAAAAGTGTTAAAATAAACATATTTTACATGTGGAAAAATTGACCAATTGTAACATTTGTGTTGGTGGCTTGTGTTTTTGAATGTAGATAAGAGGAATTGCTTAGAAGAGTCATGTTTGCAGTATTTTCCGTGAGAAGAACTTCAGCTTCCTTTGGGATTAATATAATTTCTATATATCTATTTCTCTGTCTGGCATAATAAATGAATATACAAGTACATTTGGACATAAAAACCTCTTCAGGCTTGTCCAGTATCTGATTAGAATCTGGGGTACTCATATTCAGTTAAAGAGGTCTGACCACTCTTTTGAAATTCAGTGATCATCCCTAGAAAAAGGTGTTTTGGTCAGATTGCTCTCATAAGTCAATAACTATCTATTGCAACAAGAGCAAAACTCATTAAGCACCTCTGTGTCATATTTGCTAATGTTGTTACCTGTTGTGCTGGACTAAATAAAGCCATTTTTTCTTGAGGTCTTCTGTGTTTCTTTTTTTAGTCAAAACATGCTCTCAGAAGTGTATAGCTATGCATAATGTACTATAAAAGTGTTAAAATAAACATATTTTACATGTGCAAAAATTTACACAGACTGCACTAACAAAGCAATATAACCAAACCTGCCAAGTCTGAAAACACCCCAAGAGTGTAAAAATAAACATATGAATGAATGAATGAGGATCATTACCTGTTTTAACAGTTATTTTAGTTGTCGGTTGCTTTTGATGCAAGGAATTGAGTGTAAAAGAGGGTGTAGTTTTTGCAGTAGGCAGGGCTGAACTTGAGTGTTGAAGCGGGGAGGTGAGTGGAAGAATGGTGTTTGTGCTATTGTCTGTGACTAGAAGAAGCATAATAAATGAATATATGACTACAAAGGCTATTCAGTTACCACAATCATATCTCAACACTGAAATAGCTCACTGAATGCAAAATTAATGTTTCTCCAAAGCTCTTCCAGAAACCTGTATTCAACTGTAATCTTAAGTGAATAGAGAACAACTGATATACCCTTAAAACTGGTTCTTCAGGGGTTCTTTTGTAAAGCCAATGGTTATATATAGAACAGAGGCTCCAGACGAATCATGCCTTATGATGCGCAACCGTATTAACCCCTAAATGGCCAGGGCCCCCCGGTAGGCCCACAGTTGTATTACACACTTCTATAGCCTAAGAATAGATCAACCAGTTTGCATTGAAGGCCCTGAAGTTACTGAATAATGAGTCTTGGTATGTAATAAGCTTGGGATTTTAAAGGGTTAAACATTACAGAACATTTTTTAAAAATGTAAAAGTGTTAAAATAAACATATTTTACATGTGGAAAAATTGACCAATTGTAACATTTGTGTTGGTGACTTGTGTTTTTGAGTGTAGATAAGAGGAATTGCTTAGAAGAGTCATGTTTGCACTATTTTCAGCTTCAGCTTCCTTTGGGATTAATATAATTTCTATTTTAAGGATTCACACAGCCCCGCGTTTGGTCGGCTTCAGTGGTTCCATTTACTCACAACAGCTGCCCCACCATTCATCTATTATATGGAGAAACTGATTTTTGTTTTTCTAGAGTAAAGTAAATCATAACGTGTTCTAAACCTCATTGATTTATTTACGCGAAACAAATGGAGATATGTATGCACTTAGAGTGGGTTGAGACACAATTCCATTCAATTTTTCGCCAAACTGTTCCTTTATTAACAATAATATCTGGATCATAGTCAATAAATTTGCTGGAACAAAAATGTTTTGAATTTTAAGCTCTTTTAAACTTCAGCCATTGCTGGTGGCTGACTTGGATCTGCTATATTCGGATTCAGATCAAGAGGTCTGGTCACTTTTCTTATCCTAAGGAAAGTTTTCAGTTTATATAATATGAATTCAGAGCTCATGAAGAGATCATAAAACACATCCATGTGTCAAAACATCTTCAGAAACACTTGATGCATGTACCAAAGAAAGTATGTACAAAAGACACAACAGTTCATTGTGTGTGGTACATTTAGACATCTCTGATTCGTTTTGCTTTCATATTTCAAGCGAACCACACCACAGTTTGTTTAGAAGCTGTCTGAGCCCAATCTCCTCATGAGATCTTGATCTGCTTATCTGGTGTGCACCAGGGTTTGCATGGTTGTCATGGTACTGCAGTGTTCTCACTTGTTTTAACAGACTGCACTAACTAAGCAATATAACCAAACCTGCCAAGTCTGAAAACACCCCAAGAGTGTAAAAATAAACATATGAATGAATGAATGAGGATCATTACCTGTTTTAACAGTTATTTTAGTTGTCGGTTGCTTTTGATGCAAGGAATTGAGTGTAAAAGAGGGTGTAGTTTTTGCAGTAGGCAGGGCTGAACTTGAGTGTTGAAGCGTGGAGGTGAGTGGAAGAATGGTGTTTGTGCTATTGTCTGTGACTAGAAGAAGCATAATAAATGAATATATGACTACAAAGGCCATTCAGTTACCACAATCATATCTCAACACTGAAATAGCTCACTGAATGCAAAATTAATGTTTCTCCAAAGCTCTTCCAGAAACCTGTATTCAACTGTAATCTTAAGTGAATAGAGAACAACTGATATACCCTTAAAACTGGTTCTTCAGGGGTTCTTTTGTAAAGCCAATGGTTATATATAGAACAGAGGCTCCAGACGAATCATGCCTTAGGATGCACAACTGTATTAACCCCTAAATGGCCAGGGCCCCCCGGGAGGCCCACAGTTGTATTACACACTTCTATAGCCTAAGAATAGATCAACCAGTTTGCATTGAAGGCCCTGAAGTTACTGAATAATGAGTCTTGGTATGTAATAAGCTTGGGATTTTAAAGGGTTAAACATTACAGAACATTTTTAAAAAATTTTAAAGTGTTAAAATAAACATATTTTACATGTGGAAAAATTGACCAATTGTAACATTTGTGTTGGTGGCTTGTGTTTTTGAATGTAGATAAGAGGAATTGCTTAGAAGAGTCATGTTTGCAGTATTTTCTGTGAGAAGAACTTCAGCTTCCTTTGGGATTAATATAATTTCTATATATCTATTTCTCTGTCTGGCATAATAAATGAATATACAAGTACAATTGGACATAAAAACCTCTTCAGGCTTGTCCAGTATCTGATTAGAATCTGGGGTACTCATATTCAGTTAAAGAGGTCTGACCACTCTTTTGAAATTCAGTGATCATCCCTAGAAAAAGGTGTTTTGGTCAGATTGCCCTCATAAATCAATAACTATCTATTGCAACAAAACTCTTATGCTGTATGTATTAAGCAACTCTGTGTCATATTTGCTGGTGTTGTTACCTGTTGTGCTGGACTTTGGTGCAGTGCGTGAGGGTGAGGCTGTTGCCTCGATGGACACAGTGCTTGCAGAGCCAGAGGTGTTTGTGACTGTCAGCAATTTCAATAGTAAATGCAGTTTACCAAATTTACCAGCTGTGACTTTTTCTATATACATAAATAATGTTTTGGGTTAGTGCTGATGTTAGTTAATGTACGCAGGAAATTGTATTTTTTTTTTTTCTTTACAAGTATCTGATTTAGGCCCCAGGGTAGGTCTACTCAGTTTCAGTTCAAGAGGTCATTTTAATTCTGTTAGCATCCCTAGAAAAGTTTTTTTCTTGAAGTTTTTGTCTTTTTTTGTCAGGACATACCCTCAGATGTTTATAGCTAAGCACAATGCACTTATTTCTCATACTTAAAGGGCTCAGATAAAAACACTTTGTCACTGTCTAAAGAAAACTAATACCTCCAAAATGGCAACTTCATAAGAGAAGGCAAAAGCGCTATTTACTTTCAGTGTAAGATAAGGTAAAGAGATGTTAGTGCAAGCAACTCGGGAGCATTTCTATTGGTCCAATCATCATAAAACTTTCACACAATGTACAAGACAGCTGTAGTGCTCAAATGATGCAGAAAAATGGAGATCCTTGTTTTTTGGCCAGCAATGATATTTTACATGTGGAAACTTTACCAAATGTTCTTTATTTTGGTTGGTTGTGTATTTGAGAGTTGATGTGCAGAGTTGCTTAGAAGAACTTAGATGTTTGCACTGTTTTCTGTGAGAATAACTTAATTCTCTAAGTTTTTTTGGGATTAATAAAGTTTTTACCTATCTATTTCTCTATCTTGCATAATAAATGAATATATTATTATAACTGGACATAAAACTCTTCCGCCTTGTCCAGTATCTCATTAGAATCTGGGGTACTTGGATTCAGTTCAGGAGGTCTGATCACTCCTTTGTAATTCAGTGATCATCCCTAGGAAAAGGTGTTTTTGGTCAGATTGCCCTCATAAATCGATAATCTATTAAAAGAGCTCTGTGTCATATTTGCTGGTATTGTTACCTGTTGTGTCAGACTCAGGTGCAGTGCGTGAGGGTGAGGCTGCTGTCTTGATGGACTCAGTGCTTGCAGGGTCAGAGGTGTTTGGGTCTGTCAAAAATTCCAAAAGGACATGAAGTGCAATGCAGATTTACCAGCTATGACATTTTCTATAGACATGTATAGTT